AGTATGTGTATGTGGATGGGTGGGTATTAGTATGTGTATGTGGATGGGTGGGTAGTTGGGAGAGGGATCTTGTTTCTGTCTGATGTCAGTCCCTTACACTTCCCTTTCCTCATATTTTTTTTAGTTGGTGAAAGGGGGTGAAAGGCGGATCCACTGTGTTTGTACCTTTGTTCTAACAAATTTACAGATGGTCTGTGTTTTTGTGGTTCCCTGTACCTGACAAAGCAAATATCTCATGCACCGGTGTCTGTGGTGAAATGATTAACGGCTTCTCTATCACACGAGGGAGACCTGAGTTTGATTCCCGAATGGGGGAAAAAAACTGACTGGCAGGGTGTGTGTGCTTGTGTGGGCACCTTCCTTTACGATGGCTTGGATGTCAAATTAGTTTTCAGCAGTCGACGAAAAAGTTGTTTTTTTTCGTTGAGCCCTCCTCCTAAGTGATCTAAATTGTGTTGATGGGGGCGTAAAACAGCCTACATAGAAAAAAAAACCTCACCTGTAACATCTCATCTACAGAGTGAACACGTTCGACTGTGGAGATGCTGTCTCTGACTGGCTCAGCGATGTCTTTCACACTCCTGGCATCAGGTTGCTACGGCAACAAAGTGATGATACTCGCAGGTCAAAGTTGAAAGACAAGACAGCCGATGGTCAAGGTAAAGAATGAAAATCTTGGCTAACTTGTTTTCTCATAGGCTATGTACTCCCATACATGTACCTTCTTATATATTCATCTTAATGCAAAATAAAAAAAACAAACCCCAAACAACAAGCCTTCACTCTCATATATATACACGCCATGATATATAGCTATTCTCTACCCCCCCCTACTCCCCCAGCACACTTACACATTTGATCATTCACCTCCAAGTGAACATAAGGACTGGGCTATCTCACAGCATTTGTTTGCTACATTGGTGCAAGGCCAGAATGTTGTATTTTGAATGTGACATTTGGAGAAACTAGGAACCAGAAGTACTTTTTTCTTGAAAAATAATTAAAGAGTTGACACTTGTCTCTGACAAAAATGAGTCTTTTTCGCCTTTCATTGTATCCTCCTCAGTGTCGGTTGGCCCTGACAGGCAGGGTCAAAAGCCTGCGTCTTAATAGGTAGTTTAGTTTAGTTTGGTAATAAAACTTGTGTGGTGCTCTTAACTACATGAGGTCATAACTTCTTCTTAAATGATGAAAATTTTGTAGATGGTATGATAAAACGTCTACTTAGAAAAAAAAAAAAAAATATTGTCGCTTTTAAGCGCAAAGGGGCTATCCCAAAAAATGCAGTTTTGAGAAAATCGAAGGAAAAGTTTTTGCCCCGTGTTCAGTTTCTTTAAAAAACAAAAAGAGTATTCTCTACAACCAAACAAATATACTCATCATGAAACCAAACTTCTCCTATAAGTAGGGCAATGCCCACTTTTGTGTAGGTCAAGATTTCTGAAAACCCCCGAAATCTGGGTTAGTCTTCTTGTCCTTAAAAGTGTTCATATTGTATAAATGAACGGAATAAAAATCTGGAGTCTCATCCCCTTCCTTTCCACAGCGGGGAGTGAGGAGGAGAAGCCGCGACTGTCCATGGCCAACGAGTCGCAGCTGCTTGTACTGAGCCGAGCCAGCGTACGGGAGCTTCAGAACAAAATGGCCGATGTAGTGGACATGGATGACGCTCAGGACACCAGACTGCCCACAGCTCCGGCCAACATCGGTACGTTTTGTGTCTACCTTTGCACTCATCTGTAGTAGAACTATGAATCTTTGCACATGTCTGTACGGTAGTAGTACTTTGTATCTTTGTACCTGTCTGTAGTAGAACTATGTATCTTTGCACATATCTAGTTGAAACAGTATGTCTCCTCTTTTGTCTTGAACAGAAGCTACCCCCCGGGGCGGTGTTACTGACTGAAGTGTCTTTAGACCATTCCCAAAGGGGGGACATTTCTCGTTCTAGTGCACAGTAGAATTGTAAATGGGCTGATCTAACAATGTCTTGCTCATAACTGTGCCTGAGCTACAACAGGGAACTGCTGCTTTTTCTTTCCTAATCTTTACTATCGTCATTTTCCTCTACTTCCTTTGTATGTGTGTCACACTCTTGTGACCCGCTGTTTCCGGGGTGCCTTGATAGTCGAAGCAGATTTTGTGCTGTTGAAGCTAGAGAGGTGAGCAGAGTAAGTCTGATTCCCTGTAAGTATTTCTCCGTTGACATCCACCCCTTGGCGCTCATATGACCTTATGCAGTTGCGAGCGCCGTAAAACCTCTTACTGAAACTAAAACTAAAAAAGAATAGAAACTGTTTGTCTTCTGTCTGCCTTCACTTTTGTAATAGAAACAGTATGTCTTCTCTTTTGTCTGTAGCTGTTGCAACATGTCTCCTGGTTTTTCTGTAATGGAAACTGTTTGTCTCAGTGGGTGGTTGGCGGGTACTCTGTTGTGGTTTGCTCCCTCTTTCCTATCAAACATCTATTGTCCTTCTCTCTCCTCCTTCTTTTTTATGTTTGTTACACTCTTGTAACACCTCTTATCTTCGGGCGCTCGTATGACCTTATGCCGTTGCGAGCGCTGTAAAACCTCTACTTAAACTAAAACATGTAACATCTCTATACTTCAGCACCTACATGACCTTTTTATTGTGTTGTAAGTGCCGTAAAACTCTGACCAAAACTAAGGCCCTATTTCTTTTCTTTCCCTCTATTGTTTCTGTGTAAGCCAGTCTTCTGTACGCTAAATGACCGTTATTGTTTCTTTGCAAGCCAGTCTTCTGTCCGCTAAATGACCGTTATTGTTTCTGTGTAAGCCAGTCTTCTGTCCGCTAAATGACCGTTATTGTTTCTGTGTAAGCCAGTCTTCTGTCCGCTAAATGACCGTTATTGTTTCTGTGTAAGCCAATGTTCTGTCCGCTAAATGACCGTTATTGTTTCTGTGTAAGCCAATCTTCTGTCCACTAAATGACCGTTATTGTTTCTGTGTAAGCCAATCTTCTGTCCGCTAAATGACCGTTATTGTGTTGATGCGCTTCTCTTCACACAAACAAACAGGATTCTCCTAAATACTGGTTTCGTGGGTGGTTGGCAGGTGCTCTGGTGTGGTTTGCTCCTTCTTTCCTATCAAACATCTATTGTCCTGGTCTCCCCTCCTTCTTTTTTGTGTTTGTTACTCCCTTGTAACACCTCTAATCTTCGGCACTTATATGACCTTATTGTGTTGCAAGAGCCATAAAACACTTACTAAAACTAAAATGTACTGTTTTCAAATATATTTTGTTCCCTGACTATATCAGGAGAAGATAACCTCATCATGCGTTTCCGTGGCAACCTGGTCATTGATGGAGGGAAGGCGTTTGAGGAGGACACTTGGGCCTCGGTGTCAGTGGGAGACAATACCATGCTGGTAGGTTGTGTGACCTTTGACCTGGTCACTCAGGGGGATTTTGTGTTTGAGAGCCCTTGCACTGGGGTGCTTCTGCTACTGGTATATGATGCTGTTGTGCTGTGCTGTTTTATTGTTCTGCATTTGTGTTGTGGTGCTGTCAGATTGTATTTTTTCTTGTGAAGAAAGGTTGTTTTTTCTTCTCATAACAAGCTGTCCACTTTTCGCATATATCTCATCTTGACCATTCATGAGCGTGAAATGGAAAGAACTGAAATATAATTAATTTTGTCTGCATAAATTTCTGCTAAGTTTTGGACTGCAAGATGGATACATCTTTTCTTGATCCATATGAGAAAAGTTGGGTGCAATGCATGCGCTACACTTACATAAATTAGACCAAAAAGGTTAGATCTAGATCTGCAGTACATAAGACACAATATCACGATACATAATCTGTTACTTGCATGCCATTGCTGGTGGGCACAGTACAGATTCTGTGGGTGGTTGACGGGTGCTCTAGTGTGATTTGCTTCTTCTTTCCTTTCGAACATCTATCATCCGTATGTCCCCTTCTTCTTTTTTATGTTTGTTACTCTCTTGTAACTCCTCTAATCTTCTGGCGCTCATATTACCTTATGCAGTTGCGAGTGCCGTAAAACCTCTTCTTAAACTAAATACTAAGTAGGCCTACAGATTCTACTTTTGTTCTTTTGCTTGGGGAAAGTGTCGTCTTATTGATTTGAGTTTTGTTGTGTCTCAGGAGCGGTGAAATATTGAGGTGGGTGGTTGGCGGGTGCTCTGGTGTGGTTTGCTCCTTCTTTCCTATCAAACATCTATCGTCCTTATCTCCCCTCCTTCTTTTTTGTGTTTGTTACTCTCTTGTAACACCTCTAATCTTCTGGCGCTCATATGACCTTATGCAGTTGCGAGTGCCGTAAAACTCTTACTAAAACTAAAAAATGAAATATTGATAATCATTTTTATTTTATTTCTTCACATCCCCCCCCCCCTTCCCGCTCCAGTGCCACGGTCCATGCTCCAGGTGCCAGATGATCTGCATGGATCAGCAGACAGCCCAAAAAAGTCGAGAGCCTTTGAGAACGCTGAGTGTATGGCGTGGCAAAAAGGTCAGTCGTGAGGAATAATTTTTTGCTTGTATAGTTATTAAAATAATTAATAAAAAGCCACTTTTATTTATTTTTTTAAAAACCTATTGTGGAAGTTTTGATTTCAGTGGCAAATGCAAAACACAGGATATCATTCAGAGGGTAAATTAAGTTTCCAATGTATTACCAGTTCAGGCAATTTTCTGGACTAGTTATTGCTAGTCGCCTGGTACACTTACAGTGCCCTGTCTTTGAGCAAAGGTTTGATAGTGCTTTGTTCAAGGACATATCCTAGTGACCACCCACCTACTCGAATGTATCGAATAAACGGGGGGGAGGGGGGGGGATTGGACAACTGGTCCAAAATTAATAAACGGGGGGAGGGGGCGGGGGGATGGAATATAAAGGGGGGGCGGGGGAGGCACATTCAACTTCATACCCCTGTACTAGTAGGAACAAATCTGTTTTATTTCTCCTTCAGTGAATAAAATAAAAGAACAAGAGATCATGAAATTTTAGTGATCTCAGTAAGTTATTGTTGCAACTTTTCCCATTTAGAAGCAAGCAAGTTTCATTAAAAGAACATAAAATCAATGAACAAAAGTTTTTTAAATGCACAGAAAATTGAGGTAGCCAACACGGTACCGGTACTAGTACTGAGAATAATTTGCCTGTTACAAAAAAAAAAAAGAAGTTTCATTCAGATATCTAGATTCAAGACATAATGTTTCACATATTAGTCAGTCGTGGCAAGCTGGAAAAGGGGGATGGGGGGGGGGTATGGAATAAGGAGGCGGGGTGTGCAAAAAAATGAAAATTAATAAAGGAGGGGGGGGGGGTGCCCTTATTGGATACTTTAGAGTTACTGATGTGTCTCTGACTCTGCTTGACAATATCTACAAGTCTTTCGCTCCTCTCCCCTCTTCCTCCCCCATCCCCTCCCATCTCTCTTCTCTTCCTCCCCTATCTCTCGTCCCCTCTTCCTCCCCCCTTCCCCCCCTTCCATCTCTCTCTTCTTCCTCCCCTATCCCGCCTTCCATCTCTCTCTTCTTCCTCCCCCATCCCGCCTTCCATCTCTCTCTCTCTCTTTTCTTTTTCCCCCATCCCCCCGTCTGATATTTTAGCTATTGATGCTGTGTCTTAGTCATAGTGTGAAGTTTACATAGTATATAGTAGTAGTAGGCATCTATCCCTCTCCATTGTTCTGCAAGGCATGCTCTCTGTGTCCCACTCAGTGCGGGGTTGGCCCTAACAGGCAGTGTAGAAGCAGCCCGTCTCTTAATAAATTGAACTTTGTCTTTAGGGCATTTAGGGCATCAAACATTATTTAGATATATTATGTGTGTGCGCCAAGAGAAGGGTACCAAAAGTCGACCCAGACGGTTTCGAACTACAGGCTGATAATGACAAAAATCACTTTTATTTACCAAAATGTATTTCCATATAACAAAATGATAGGTCTACAATTTTTTACAATGTGCTCCAAGGGTTTTCCTTCATTTGACTTCTAAATACTTTATTTTGAATTATTTTGAGGGTAGGGTATAATAAAGACAAATAATATGAACTGCTTTTAAAAGGTGTTTAAATCTATTCTTGAAGCACGTTTTCTCTTCCCTGCCATGTTTTACCATTGGGTTCCATTCATGATATTGATGTCAACTGAATGCCAAATTGGACATGAATTTTCCACAAATAAATACATTTAAAAAATCGTTTTTTTAATGTTTGTATACACGTGTGTTAAACTTAAAAGCTCATTTTCTAAAAATTATATTTTTATACCCTACCTCGCAAAATGTGCAATATCTCAGAGACTACTTGAGATCTTTACAAAATTCAAAAGACTCCTGTGTTCAGCTTTGAATTTCCTATAAGGTTTAACCCTTAACTCAAACTGGTCAAAATCCGACTTTTAGTACCTTTCTTCAGGAACACACACATCAGAAATACCTCCTACAGGGAGATGAGAAGCCGTTCTGTGTCGGATGCGACACAGATTTTACCATTAGACACACCTTAACCGAATGTCTAGACTTTGGAGAGATCCGAAGGAAATATTATAAATGTAAGAAATTGCAAGACATTTTTTCCGTCGTTGTTCCCAGCAGAATTTTGAATTTTATAAAGGCCATTGGCCTTTATGGCATATTATAAAGTGAAATTGATACTATTTAAATTTTTTTATGTTAACTAGAAAAATTGTTTTAGATCGAAAATATATACATATATTTACACTGATTTTTAAACATTTTAACATTTTAAAGTCTAAAAGCTAACCAACCGTTGCAGTGAACTGTTGCGAATGCAAACAACATGTGTTTCGCATGCTCATATGACCTTATGCAGTTGCGAGCGCCGTAAAACCCTATACTACCACAATACTACTACTGCACACATCAGATGCACTTTGTCTCTTGGTGTGTATTTGTGGTTAGAAACAATATGTTGGTAAAGTCATTGATTGGAAGCCAAGTGTTCACCTCACAGTTGTGACCTGTCATTTTCCAGGTTCCCTTCGGTGTGTACTCGCGTCTGATTCCCCGCTCGGACGGCAGCAAGCAAGTCATCCGTGTGGGAGACCTGGTCACTGTGTGAACCCCTCGCATCATCGCGGTTGTGCTCCTTCAGACAATCCTATTTCCTGATACTACTAGTGGTTCCTTCCGGATTCTGTGGGGATTATTTTATGTTGGATCAAAACTAAATTGTTCATTTAACCTTTCTGCTCTCTATTTGGGAGCTTTGTGTTTCGAAAACAATGCCCCAAGGTGAATGATTTTGAAAGGGAAAAAAAAGCATTAACAATAATTTCTAGAATCAAACGAAGAAAAAAAACTGATTAACTTTTATGCTTATAAACTGTTGAAAACATGGATACTTACGAAATCCAGAAATGCACTTTGACTCAAAGTCCTGCTTCTTAGTTCTACCAAAGAGCCCTGGAAGGTCTCAGGCTTGGTAGTGAAGAGATTAAGCATCAGTGTCGAGTCCACATATTATATCAAACTGGCATAAAATAAACATTTCTTTTCGGAAAGAGGAGCCAGTAAGAGTTTTTGTCTATTAACGACTCTATAGGGGCTAAGTCCCTAATAGTTATAGTGTAGTAAACATAATATTCCTATCTCGCCTTGTTCCTTTTCACCCTAATAGTTATAGTTCCACACAAATTGTAAGATCACGCAGCGGCAAATATGTACCTCCTAAAACAAAGAAAGAAAGATATAAAAGAAATTTTTTACCATCTAGCATAAGGCTTTTGTCAGAATGAGCATAGATGTGTGTTACTCTTAGAGTATGTATCTGTATATAACTCCAAAGGTCTAGTATTTAAATTCCTGCATGTGGGTGAATGATGCATTTGATGTAAACGTATATTTTGTCAGCTTTACTTCTCCTTTCATATTGAATTTTTATGAGAGTAATATATATTTAATTAAAATTTTTTTTTGTATATCTGGTGTTTTAACGGTCCTGTACAGCCAAGGAAAATTTCCCTCTGGGATAATAAAGTACTATCTTTTCTTATCTGTCTTATCTTATAGTGTTAGAAACAGATTTCTATCTCGCCTTGTTCTTTTTCACCCTGATAGTTATAGTCTGCAATACAGTAGTTGAACTGTCTGACAAGCACACAACTGAGTAATCAGAATTATGGACGTCTTCACGGTGGTGGTTAAGTTAAGCTCTCACTCATTTACTTAGATGGATCAAAACATGAAATCAAACACTTTTATTTACCCCCCTACCCCACCCCCACCCCAACCCCACCTTTCACACACACACATACACACACACACACACTCAAACACGAACACACACACACACACAAACACACACACACACACTCAAACACGAACACAAACACACACTCTCACAGACACATTTTTCATATTTGTTCGTCCATTGCATACTTCCCAGACTTCATATAACTGGATGAGAAACCACAAGGACATTTAACCTTGCCACCTATTCACGACATTCACGCCTGCCTGATCATACCACGTGACCAAAGATATCAACACTGGAGGATCGGGTGGACACAGTGGCGGGGCGCCATAGGTGCAATTGGTGCAAGCGCTCCACCTGACCCTCGCCTTCCCCCCCACCTCCTTTCTGATTGTCCTAAACCAGTCAGTACTCTAAATCTAGATATTAGGCTAGGCCTACTACATCCTTGCGATCCGTCACCCGCTGGCTGTGCCAGTGAAGAGACAGACGGCGAGGATGGTTTATGCTCGTCGCACCGCTTGCGGTTGTGTCTGCTGGGAGCAAGCAAAATCTTTGCACCAAAGTTATTTTTGTCACTGTAGAGAAATCTAGGCATTGTTCTTCCCGCACCAGGGTGCATGAAACTCCTCTTCGCAGCAACAATTTGGTGCAAGCTAAAAATTTGATCCAAGTTTCCGCGAGCCTATCTACTACATTAGTAGAGTCTACGGTAACTCAATGAAAAATGGGTATCGCAACTGTTGTCTCCCGCTATTGTGTAGCAAGTCCTGGTGCTGCACGAAGTAATTAGAAATCTTTAAAACATCTCAGATTGTCAGCATAGTGAGTTGTTAGTATTGTTTTACTGTATGGCAGCTTTTATGCAGGTTTCATTTAGATGGGATATCCTGCAGATTCTAATTGATTTTCTCTAGAAATCTTAATTGTAGCTACTATGCTTATTGCTCATTTTCTGACTTTCCAATTATGCACCACCTTGTTTGCAACCCACGCGATGCCACTGGGTGGAAAGGAGGGGGGGGGGGACTATGTTGCCAGCCATTGTGCCATCTGTGATGTATTTATTGAAGATATGTGTCCGCGGAGCCTTATCAAAGAATAGTTATTATTGATGTTATTGATAAATGTCAGAATGTCAGTGTTTATCAATATTTATGAAAGACAGTAATATTGTCCATTTAATTCATTCCATGTTCATCTTCATGAAATGTTTCTTTTGTTTTTTTCTTGATCTCAAGAGTGGTTGTTGATTCTTTCCTGGTGAGCTGAAGCTTCACATTTTCAGGGCAATAGAAACAATTTTACCATTGAGCTTATATCATCCTTTTCTTTAAAAAACGACAACCAAAAAACATTTTTTTTTTCAGTAGAAGAATGCATGTGATTTATACCGTTTTGTTTAATTGTTTTATAAAATTTGTTGTTTATTTTATCATCCTGTTGGGTTAGTGACTGTTGCTAAAAACCTTTTATCTGTTCACAAAGATACACAATAATTGGTCGTTTTTGTCATACCATTTTGTGCCTTGATTTTAAGCAACCTAATAAACTAACACCTTTATTGTTCAATATTACCAGATGTTTGTTTGTCTCCACAATATTTGCTTCTATTGTTTCTTATCCTACAAGTTGGTTCATTGTTATAATTTGTTCTTCTGGTTTGATAATTTCATCCTCAACATTATTTATAATTAAAACAGCTGGGACTGTTCTTTTTGTGTGCTGTAGGAAGAAATTATGGCCTATGTCTCCTCCTCCTCCTCGTCCTCTTCCTGCTTGTCCTCCTCCTCCTCCTCCCCCCTCTTCCTCCTTCCCCCTCCTCTCCCCTCTCATCTTCCTCCTCTATCACATCACACCTGAAGACTTATATTTATCGTAATATACAGTGGATTCAACGAGCTCAGATTTAACGAGAACTCGGATTCAACGAGAGGAGATGAATTCCCCGTTTTTTTTCCTCCAGGGTGAACAGCCCCGCAGAGGTGGCTTCGCCCATTTTTCTTCCTAAACGAACTAGATCTATTCCCGTTGGACCATTATTCCCTTAGCCAATTGCATGCGACTAATCAGCGGCCTTCTTTCTACACAGCAACACAACTTTTTGGCAAACAATCGAGGTGACACAGCATTTGAACGTTCATTAGAACAAATCGGCCTTTTTTGTGCAGAGCTCATAATATTCAGGCATTTCAGGCACCACTTATTACTTTCGATATACATTACTTGCTCAGTGCCTATAATTATCTACACAAAACCTCGTGTTTGCTATAACGAACACTCGGGATTCAACAAGATTTTAGGTCAGGCCCGGCGACCTCATTGAATCCGAGTTCCACTGTACCTGTGTTATATTGCATTTTTCGTTTTTGCCCCAATTTTTCTCGTAAACTGTGAAAATGTTACTCCTTTTGTGCATAAAGTATTGTAAGAGTTGATTTTTATCATGACCCAATGCATTGTGCTTGAAGTACCGGTAAGGTTTAATTTGATATACCGATCAGCTCTGTAGTGTAATTTGTTGAGTTTTTCATGAACCTTTTCTCATAATAACTGTTATTTTGTTCACCTTTTTATGAATTTATTTTCCTAACTGTGATTTTGAGCTCTGAGATACACTTTAGGTCCTTATAACATCCTTATTTGGTAGCTTTTAAGGACAAGCGGGCTAATCATATTCCGGGGGTTTCCAGAAATCTTGACGTACACCAAAAGTGAGCATTGCTATACCTATGGAAGAAGTTTGGTTTTATTAGTGTGTATATATTTGTTTGTTTATAGAGAAAACTCTCCTTGTCTTTAAATGAAAGTGAACGAGGGGTAAAGACTAACTGCTATTTTCTCAAAACAGCGTTTTTTCGGGATAGTCCCCTTGTGCTTAAAAGCGACCGTTTATTATCACAGACCTTTGAACAAAATTGAGCATGATATCAATATGTGCGTCTAATGATTCCAAGTTTTTATGAAAATACATTGACATTTCTTGTAATTTACGTGACATCAAAAATGGGCCTCAAGCCCGTTATGCACCATTTTGACGTTTTTATTTGATTATAACACAAACTAAAATTTTAAACAACCATAACTCATCTGTAGTTTGTAAGCGGGTATTGATAATTTTTACTGTTTTGTCCAAGTCTTATGGAGTAGCTTCCAATAAAAGTGGTAAAATATTGATTTCTGACTTTTGAATTTTTCGCTTGTGGTACCCATTATATGTGAAATATTGTAAAATTTGGCGGCTAATAAGCGAGGTAGCCTTCAGGTGTAGCCCCTTCCCCTTAATTACAATTGATGTATCTAAAGGAAGTTGAAAAAAATAGGGAGGGATTGAGATTGAGATAATGAGACAGGAGATTTGCGATGCTCAAGGATAGATAACAAGGCTAAAACAGCTCCTGGACATGGATGGCTGGTGCCTCTGTAATAAATTATTGATGGTCAAGGGTGGTCGTCAGGGAGTCCAGCTGTCTGTCTGTCTCCTCCGTGTCTCCCTCTCTCTCTCTCTTTCTCTCTCTCTCTCTCTTTCTCTCTCTCTCTCTCTCTCT